TTTATTTCTCCTTGCGCCTGATGGAGGTTCGAGAGTAATTCTTGGATCCATCCTCTGACACACAGACTGGAATCAATCTCCCCAGTTCAGATCAGAATGTATCAACGAGAAAGTTAAATGGCAAGAAGAGAGAGGCTGAAAGAATGAAGTGGAGAAGGGCAGGATGAGGGAGCAAAAGGACAGACAAACGGGTGGAGAGTGAAAAAAGATGATTGGGGACACGCGGAGAGAGCGGGGAGAAAAGATGCAGAAAGTGCGCGACCTTTCTACCTCCGTTTTTCGTAATAATTTCTCATTGGGGTATGATCACTTCACGTAATTCTGCACAGCAGTGTCTCTGTCCACTGTGGGCTTGTGGTGCAACGGTAGCGCATCTGATTCCAGATCAGAAAGTTGTGTGTTTAAATCACGTCAAGCTCATGGCCTCTCCGCTCAGTAAAGTGCTTCTTCTTTATATCGAAGCAGAGCTTGTTGTTTGGGGGTGTTGCTTGATAGTGTTTCTCCTTTTCAGTCGCTGTTCAATTGCGCATGGTACTTTCCTGTTCGTTTTATATTGGGAACACTGCTGCAGGGATGTTGTTTGCTCAAACACAAAGTGTTCATCGTGGGGTTTAAACACACAACCACCTCCCCCTGGGCAGCCACTTCATTCAGTCAGTAACAATGCCATGCTGCTAACATTATACAGATATTTTCTCACTTAATTTGTAAACACGCAACTTTACGTTTCAATCTATGAGGAGATTTCAGCTCCTCTTGTTAAAGCAGATGGCAGTGAGTTCAGGAAGAAATGTTTCAAATGAACAACAATTCCTTTTAAAGTTGGAATTATCTTTACTGAACAGCAGGAGAGGAAACTGCAGTCCCACAGCCCCTCTTCACATTAACGGTGAGGCTGAATTTTACAGACTGTATCGGTAAAATCCAATGGCAGGCAATGAGTTCAGTTCCAATGCTGGTTGGTACTGTCCGCATCCCGATTGTTGCGTGAGTTACAGGCAAAGTCTCCAGGAAATATATATCATGTGGATGTATTGCCACGACAACAGAACAATGAGTCGAAAGTCAGGAACCTGAAAATCGCCTAATTTTGAAATTCAAGAAATAGGACGCACTGAAGATGCATCGGATCTTTACGGTCTCCCCGAACTCTCTGTGACGAACAGAATCCAAGCGAGTATGATCTTTTTGCGAAGATTACAGCAGAGAACTGAGAGGACTCAAACTGAAGGTTTTCCAAGACACTGAAGATTTCTTCTTCCTGTGTGATAGGTTTTATTTTGATCAAAGAAATGCTTATTCGCGGGTAGGGAGGGACAGGATTGTGAGTATTCCCAGTATTTTCTAAGTGTAAAGGCAAGACTCTGTAAAAACAACAAAAGTGAAAGCCTGTGACAGACTGAGAGGCACATTTAATTCACTGACACAAGGAGTAAGGAACAAGGCAGAAGAAATGCTGATGAACCAACTTTCACTGTTAAGTTGTAGCTTCTTTAATGTTCTCGTCGTTAGGAAGGAGCTTTCTCCACTGTAGCCTTGGTTTAAAATTCAGACAGAGAATGACTCCATGTTGCTGTTGTGTGAGTAGTCACAGTGGACAGGGCTTCTTAACTAAGATAAACCGGGCCGTTGAGTGTTTGTGGGGTGGTGCTGGCAGTCAGTCTTACTTAGAATGACTTTCAAATCAGTTTGGAAGAATCCAAAATGTTATCGGTGGAAAACAAATGCGGAGGGAGCGGAGTGAAAGGTCCGTGATTAGCTGCAAGGCGTGACAGCGTGAAACTAAGACTATAGTTTTATCCAAGTCCACCCCCCAAACAATGTTGAACCTATCGATAAAATAAGACCATGGACAAATTGATGGAGGAGCAGTAGGAATAAATTAGGAGCAGAAATATTCGACCCAACGAGTCTGCTGCATCTTTCAATGATAATCTTCAACTCCATTCTGCTGCCTGACCTGGATAACTCTTGACCATCTTACTGATTAGACGTCTGTCTAGCTCAGTTTGACAATACCCAACAATCCAGCCTCAACAGCCGTCTGCGGGAAAGAATTCCACAAGTTCACCAGCCCCTGAGCGAGAAATTCCTCCTCATATCCGAATTAAATGGGCTAAACCTTATTCGGATATGATGTCCTATAGTCCTTCTCTCTCGTGCTCAGGGAAACCATTTGTCCATATCTACGCTGTCAAGGCCCCTAAGAATATTGAATGTTAATCAATGCTGTTATACGGTTATAAACTCCAGTCAGCCTCCTGTGTTCCAAGGAGAACAGTCCCAGCCTAACCAAACATTCTGCAAAGTTTCATCTTATCCAGTCCTGGCAACATTCTTGTAAATCTCCGCTGCAACCTGCAGAGTTCTTGAATATTTTTAAGGCAGATAGAGAGATATTGTGCTGAGCAAAGGTTATCAAGTTTTTCAGGGATTGACCGGAATAGGGATTTAGGATTAGAATCCGACGAACCCTGCATATATAGAATGTTAGGGCACTGAATTTCTCTGATTCCAGGTCTGGGAACTGGGGTTAAATGATCTTCTGCAGCAGTGGTTACTTCCTTGTGTGAGGAAACTGCTGATGCAACCGATGTAAAACTCGATTTCCAATTGGGAAATATATACAAGACCGCAACCCAGAAGAATTACTTCATTTCCACCCGAATACTAATTACATTTGCCAAGTGAATATAAGAAAGTAATGTTTTTATTTTGGAACATAACAAATATAATGTAGCCACTCAGCCTCGCTGATCAATGAAATTATGTATGAACTCCTGCTTCACTGCTATTTTTCTGCACTATCCCATGATTTCTTAATATGTCTAATCTATCGAAATCTATGAACCTCAGTTTTCTATACTCTGAATGCTGGACATTGACATCCTCCATAGAATTCGATAGATTTTGTCCACTCATTTCAGTATGCTATTTGATGAGTATTTCTGTTGTGTTTCTGGTGCTGCTCCTGGCATGGCCTCCAGCAGTGTGCTTATTGTACGTTTCCTGGTGCCTCGTTGTTAAGCGCCATGGTCGTATAATAGCCAATACTCTGCATATAGCCACAACAGCTTCGACTCGAATTCGAATCACAGCAGCGTTTGTTTTCCCTTTTATTTTCTCTTAATATATGCAATAGTAACACAGTAGAGGATCAATTAATATTGCAAGAACGCATACAGAGGCGTGTGAAGTGCCGACGTTGTGGTGACATTTGTGCAATGGTTAGAGATTACCTTGATTCAGGAGATAAGCATGTGGAATCTGTTTATGTAGAAATGAGGAACAGTGAGAGAAAGAAGTCACCAGTGGGTGCAGTCTACAAGCCTACTAACAGTAACCACAACATGAAAACAAACGTATAAAAAACAGATACTGTGTGTGACAGATAAAGGGACGACAATAATCATGGGTGACCTTAATTTCCCCCTCTCCCACTCCCAGCTCCATTGCAAATAAAGTTTACAGAACCATAAACAATATATCAAATATGTCCCAGAAAACAACACTCGACATATCCTGGACTTCGATTAATTTACACGTACATAGTTTCTTTCATTGTGAACTTTAGGAAAGGAGACCATTTTTTGCCAGAAAAATAAATATGTCATTCACCTTTGTTTGGTTCATGCTCAAGAACACTCAAGTTCCTTTGTACCCCTTTTTTTGGAAATTTCTCTCGATTTTAATAGTAGTCTACCTTTTGATTCTTCCTACCAAAGGACAAGAACTCATACTGCCGACATGAAACTGCACGAGCCAAGTTTTTGTCCACTCACTCAACCTATCTATATCCCTTTGCAGATTCACATATCCTCATCACAACATGCCCTCCGCCTATTTCGTATCTTCTGCAAAACTGAACACATTACACTCTGGCACTTCCTCCAAGTCATTAATACAGAGATAAATAATTGCACCCCTATGACTGACCATTCTGACACTCCACAAATCATATCTTTCCAACTTGAAAAATACCCATTAATCCCGATTCTGTATTTTATGTTAATTAAACAATGGGCAGCCCATGCTCGTTTATACCGAACAAAGTAAACCCCTTTCTTGTGCAATGACCTGAGATATGGCTCCTTATTGAGTGCCTGTTAAAAATTCAAATGCACTTCATCTGCCGTTTGCCTTTATCAACTGTGCTTGTAATATTACCAAAGAAGTCTGGCAAAATTATCAAGTGTGATTTGCCTTTCAACAAACGATGTTGACTGTGTTTGACTGGAATTAACTTTTATAAACGACCTTTATTTCTTCATTTACAATTGTCTCGCATTTTTCAAATGACAGATAAGACATTGGGACAGATGGAAGCATTTTGGCCCATCAAGTCAATTACATCTTTAAATGAGATCATGGCTAATCCTCAACTCCACTTTTCTGCCTTATCACAGTCGCCTTAAAATCCCTAAATGACTAAATCTCTGTCTATCTCAGCCTTGAATACACCCAGCCTTATCAGAACTCTGTTGGAAGAATTCCACAGATTTGTTACCCTCTGAATGGGAGAACATCCCCCTCATCTCTGTATGAAATGCGCCTTCCCCTGAGATTACGCACCCGGGTGTAAATCAGAGCACAGCAAACCCCCAAAGTTAGTTATGAACTCACTGGCACATCCAGCGCCAATTGTGAGTATCTGAAACAATTTCGTTTTTGACCTGTGGTTAAACAAACTGCCCTGATTTGCACATTAGATTGGCCAATGAAGAATCTGCTTCAAAAGTACTCCATTGGTTAAAGGCGCTTTCAAAATACAAATACATCTTTCTTTCTCAATCCATTGATCCATTAATCTCTTTGCTCATAGAAATGGATTCTTCCCATTCACTCTATTTCTCGATAATGTAGTTCAATTCAATCTCCGTTCTGATCAAATACAGGATGACAAGAAATATAAGGGTTGTGGCAAGGAGAAGACAAGCCGAATGCTCCTCTTTCCTTTTGAAACCATTCCATGAGAAATGTTAAAACGTAGCGCATTTACTGTAGTCGTGGCCGATTGGTTAAGGTGATGGATTACGAATTCATTGGGGTTTCCCCGCGCAAGTTCGAATCCTGCCGACTACGTCTCGTAAACACGTATGCTTCTTTTTTTTCTCAAATAACCTTCTAATCAATGAGTTTTCGCTCAAACTCGAGAAAGTCCGTCTCACCACCCCACCGGAGAGTCTGGTCATTTATTGACATTCAGGAAACACGAGTTCTGAACAAGAAACTTACCATACTCAAAACTTTAGCTCTGTTTCTCTTTCCATGAAACGTGTTGAGTTTCTGCAGTATTCTCTGTGTTTAATCTGCATAAATGGTTTTGCATTAAACATCTTGAATTGCAGTCCTCTGGTAACTGACACTGGTCAGTGGCCACAGTTTCTTCCGACCATCACCCCGCCTATTCCCGCCACTCCCTCCCCCACTGCTGTGAACAGACCCAGGAAATCTCTGGTTAAACTTTTTTGCTCCAAAGAGAACATTTCCGATCTCGGGAATCACTCCACTAAACGAGATTTCCTCATCCCTGGACATGTTGCAAGGCGGAGGATTGTGAAGAGATTTTGGGAAAATATTGACAGTTGGAAGTGGGGGGTGGGGCGATGTTAAGGAAGCAAAACAGAAAACCCAGTCTCCAACTTTTTGAATCCTTAGAAACTCTTGGAAACCGGAATCACAGGACAATGAAGAGTGAATTTTCCGACTGAGCAAAAACAGCGAAGACACCTGCCCCTTCTTTTAAAGGCTGGGACATTGACTCTGATGTTCTCGGGACATGAACTGACTTGTGACATTGAAAGGATTCTCGTTCCTGCACATCAGGAATTCAAATCTCATTTCGGCTCGGGACAATGAAACAAACAAAAACTGCTGTAGAAACTCAACAGGTTTGGCAGTACCTGTGGGATAAAACAGAGTTCTGAAACGTTGACACTGATTCTCTGCCAGATCTGCTGAGCTTTTCCTGAAATTTATGTTTTTGTTTTTAAATGAATGTTTATCCCATCTGTTGGGATGAAACAGCCGGATCTACCATGTACTGAATTTAATCCTTTAGAAATCTGAGAAGTGATTGGATTCAAACAAACCGAGTCACGATTCACTCTTCCTCAGCTCCACACACAGAGAGAGAGAGAGACCTGGAAAGCAGAGCCACTACTGCGACGTGTGTAGTCGTGGCCGAGTGGTTAAGGCGATGAACTACAAATCAATTGGCGTATCCCTGCGCTGTTTGAATACTGCCGACTACGGTTGAGAACTGCAAGGGATTTGCTCTTTATATTCTTGTTTGCGAAAGGCATTACAGGAGAGGTGGCCGACGAATATTTCACCCAAATCGGTGAAGAGGGACATATGCCAATCACTGCCTGTTAGAAAGCAAGAAGCATAAAATCTCACCCGATTTAAGGTACTGCAGTGATTGGGTCGGTGAGTATTCGAAATAGAAAGTTGCACGTGAGCAGCCTGTGAGACGATTTCAGCTCACTGTCCATTTTATATCCCAGCTCACGGAAACAGTTCTCATTGTCCGGAGAAGTTGCTTGTGTTCCACCAAAAGCTGCCTTTTATCGCAGAAGCTTGTGCCTGGGGACGGAGAGCGGACGTGAAGGACATAGACCAGGTATAATCCTGAGGTCTCTGTCACTCTCGGGGATGTGCCCCTGTGTCTCCCTCTGTGGGTGAAAATGTGGATGAGTTTCTCAAGGAGGTATTAACACCGTTTACCATCTCAAACTTCGGCCCCATTTGTTGTGTTATTTGACATCACAGGGATAAATACATTGACATTTGCCTTCGTAAAGTCAAAGCACACAAGGCTATGGGCCAAATGCTGGAAACTGGGACGACAATGGATTGAGGTTTGATGAGCTGCACTGAAACGATGGGCCAAATGGTCTTCTTCCACGCTGTAAAAACTCAAGAGACGGGGAAACCGATCTGCAGCGAATATGCTCAGAAATGAAAACGCAAAAGCAGTGTCATTAAGAAAAGACAGGAGCCAATCTGCTGTATATCTTGGTGGTTTCGTGGTTAGGATTTAACGCTTTCACCGCCGCTGCCCGGGTTTAATTCCCAGTCAGAGAATAGAAGTTCTGTTGTGTTAATGTATCGTGATGACAGCACTTCTGACTGATCAGGAGCTAGCAGCTGATCTGATTTGTCCCAAACGTTGTACAGGTTAACATAAAACAAAGATCTGAGGCAATCTGACACAAAACAGAATTTGGTAATGAAACTTAGCAGGCCCAGCAGCATCTGTAGAGAGAAACAGAGCTGATGTTTCAGATCCACTGACCCTTCATCCCTACTAGGTTAATTATGCATTTCTATATTATAAGGTCGGGAGAAATTATTCGCTTTACCTGTCGAATCAACGTATTTATCAAAATCGCTCTCTCATTGGCTTACTCACGCCAACTTTACAACTTTAAAAGGACTTCATCAGCTGTAATGCTGCTTCCGTTGCCATGAGGTGCTGAAAAGCTCTGCTTAAATGGTTGCCTTTTTCTTTTCTTTCCTGTCAGTTAGCAGCCATGTCGAATGGAGAATTGTCCTTTCAGTGTCTACCACAACATGTGTCTCTATTTGTCTCTGTTTGACTCTGCGTATCCAGCTAACCCCCTTCCACATTCTCCGACACTCCATTGTCCACATCCCCCATTTCCCATTTCTGCTGTTTGAAAAGTCTGAAATTCGGAAACACTTTGAGAGTGGAGTGTCTAGTACTGGGCTCACATTCCTTGGATAATGTGTCTGTCTGCTATGACTGAGGGAAGGAGTCATTTCTGGTCTCAAAAGATTGTGAATCTTCAGAATTCAAAATAGAATTCCTAATCCACCAGAAAAACAATGCCACCACAATTATAATATTAGAGCGATGTCTTTACTGTTGGTGTAAAAATGAATGAGGGTGATCGTTTCAAACATCAGACATGGGAAATGGGGGATGTGGACAATGGAGTGTCGGAGAACGTGAAAGGGGGTGAGGTGGATACACAGAGTCAAAGAGAGACAAATAGAGACACATATTGTGGTAGGCACTGAAAGGACCAATTGTCCATTCGAAATGGCTGCTAACTGACAGAAAGGAAAAGAAAAATGTCTATGCCATTACCACAACATTCCCCGGTAAGGCTACAGTTTATCCAGCCTCACCTCGTTATTCCGACCAAACTGTGAATGAAGGGATGAGAATACAAGAAAAGGAGAAGCAGAAGTGCTTCTGGAACAGCAGAAAGGAACTTCATGGTGAATCGAGCAGAAAAAAGAGGAGACACTGAAGCAGCCTCCTGACGACAAATGTATTTTCTTTGCCAGTAAAACTCACGGCTTCACAAATCAGGGACCTTGAAGTGAAGCAGTGACGGTGATTATCTTTGTTGGTTGTTCACACTGTGAATATTACCGTTCTTGTTCATGTCCGTACTAGCACCCGAACTCTACTGCATATAAGCATCACACATAAAACGGTGATAAGTTCTGAAAACTGAAAGGCCTCCAGCTGCGCAATGAGGCTGACTCCCTGCATTAGGAGCTTTTGCAGAGCCTAATGTTAACAGTTTCTGTTTTGCAATTGGTCAGTGCATTCGGATATTGAAAGAAAGACTGGTGTTTTGAGACTACCCAGGAATGCCTCTTGTGTTTTCCTACTCATCGACGTTTCCGGTGACACAGAAGATTGTCAATCGGGATTGTCCCTTCAGGAGATAGCTTCGAAACTTTGTCAGCTCCACAGTTATTCAGTCAGACCCCGGACATACAGGTTTCAATACAGTTATTCTCAACATGTACCTTCATTTAATTCATAGAAATGTATGAAGAGATTGGAATCAAATAAACCTATGAATGATTTTCACTTCCCCTGCTCCACACGGAGTGAGACAGGGACAAGCAGTAGGATTTGACCCCGCACTCTTCAATCCTCCGCTGCCAGCAGAAAACGGCCACTGCAGATTCCAGTGAAAAGGAAGGACTGTAAGAAAAGGGGTAATTTGCCATGGGTGTCTAAAGAAATAAGGGAGGCTATCAAATTGAAAGAGAAGGCACACAAAGTGGCCAAATACAGCATGAAACTAGAAGATTGGGAAAACTTTAAAGGTCAACGGAAAGCCACAAAAAGAGCTATAAAGAAAAGTAAGATAGAACATGAGAAAAAACTAGCACAGAATATAAAGACAGATAGCAAAAGTTTCTATAAATATATAAGATGAAAAATAGTGGCTAAAGTAAACATTGGCCCTTTAGAGGATGAGAAGGGCAATTTAGTTATGGGATATGATGAAATGGCCGAGACATTGAACACGTAATTTGTATTGTTCTTCACAGTGGAGGACACTAATAACATGCCAGTAATTGACAAAGAGACGAAGGTAGGTGAGGACCTGGAAACAATCATTATTATGGAAGAGGTAGTGTTGGGCAAGCTAATGGAGCTAAAGATTGATAAGTCTCCTGGCCCTGATGGAATGCATCCCAGGGTACTAAAAGAGATGGCAGGAGAAATAACAGGTGCACTGGCAGTAATTTTCCAAAATTCGCTGGACTCTGGGGCAGTCCCAGCAGATTGGAAAACAGCAAATGTGACGCCACTGTTTAAAAAGGGAAGTAGACAAAAGATGGGGAATTATAGACTGGTTAGCTTGACCTCTGTAGTGGGGAAGATGCTTGAGTCTATTATCAAGGAAGAAATAGCAAGGCATCTTGATAGAAATTGTCCCGTTGGGCGACGCAGCATGAAGGGCAGGTCATGCTTGACAAATCTTTTGGAATTCTATGAAGACATTACGAGCAAGGTGGACAATGGGGACCCAGCGGATGTGGTGTACCGAGATTTCCAAAAGGCCTTCGACAAGGTGCCACACAAGAGGCTACTGCATAAGATAAGGAAGCATGGCGTTAAGGGTAAAGTATTAGCATGGATAGAGGATTGGTTGACTAACAGGAAGCAAAGAGTGGGGATAAATGAGTGCTATTCTAGCTGGCAGTCAGTGACTAGTGGTGTGCCTCAGGGATCGATGTTGGGACCGCAATTATTTACAATTTATATAGATGATTTGGAGTTGGGGACCACGTGTAGG